ATTCTAGTGTCGTCATGCTTGCCTCTCTATTGTTAGATGTTTTCTTGTATTGCTGTATTCCCATCACTTCTTCCAGTGGGTGCAGGTTGGGTCTCTCTCTTTATGGCACTCCCCCTATGGGCTTAGGTGGGTCAGAATTCCATGTCTGTAGCTCTGGCTGGCTTAAGCTCTCCAGGAGGTCTCTCCTCAAGCAGAGGCCCAGTGATGGGGGTCAAAGATCAGGCTCCAGCAGAGATCCTGCAGGCAGGACTCAGGAAGGTCATGTGGGGATAGGCAGATCTGGCCTTGGCCTGTTTCAGTGTTCAACTAGAGCAGTGAGACAGTGGGCAGGGAATGACACAGGGTGGGGGGAGGGTAGGCTATTCATGGGGGGTGGGTGTATTAGAGCACCAGGAAAGCTATCTCGCTCCAGCAGAGGCCTGGGGATAGGGTTCAAAGATCCATCCTTCAGGCTGTGACTCAGGATGGTCCCACAGGGATAGGAGGATCTTTGGCCCAGGCCTGGAACTCTAGCAAAGGACCAGCGGTGGGGGTCAGAGATCAGGCAGGCAGGGATTCAGGGTGGTCCTGTATGGGTAGGTGGGTCTAGTGTCTTATCTCTCTATCTATTGATCTATACAACATCTATCTATTATCTATCTATTGATATATCAAAATCAATCTCTACCTCTATCACCTATTTATCGATATGTCTATCATCTCTCTATCTTTCTATTTATCTGTATCTATATATCACAAATAGTTTCCACTCTGAAACTTTTCTGCATTTCTCTAGCATTAGAATGAGATTCACCTCAGGGGTCTGTGTTTAAGATCCCTTTCAATACTCAAAGAAAAACATCTGAATTTATTGAGGTACCACATCATGTTAGTGAAGAACAGAGAGCATGTCCCTCCCTCATCTCAAAATAGGTTGCACTTGTGAACAATTAAGCTGTTTTCTTGAATTATTACATTGATTTGAGACAACCATACTTGCCATTTCTAGCAATATATATGTTAAATAGGGATATAAAATTTCATTCTGGAAGCTTTTGGAAATGCAGAGTTTAATTTACTGATATAAAATATTCTTCCCAAAGTATCTTGGGTATTTTCACTTTATAGTATTTAACTCACTTGGAGAAGTGATATAATAATATTATATATTATATATATATGAGAAAACAACATTAATTATAGACTTCCTCCTGTAGTACAAATAATAAAAACTCAGACACAGATATTGGGGTTTAACCTGAAGATCAGAAAAGCAAAACAGCCAGCCACCAGCTCTTAGCTCTACCGAGGCGGGGGTGAACCTGTCCACACCATGACTGGAATCTGAATGCCACAAACTAAAAACTAAATACCTTAATGAGACCCTGAGCTCCTGTCTTATGTATATATATATATATGCTGGGATTAAAGGCATACACAACCACTGCCCAGCTAACTAGTGTGGTTGCTGTGATTAAAGGTGTGCACCACCACTGCCTGCCCACTATGGCTGTGGCTAGCTTTGTATTCTGATCTTCAAGCAAGCTTTATTAGATCATAAACAATATATCACCAAACCTCCTATTTGCATTGTTAAAATACTAAATTTTTACATTTTCCTTTATGCCGGGATCTCCATGCAATTATATTATTGTATTATTAGTGCTTGACATGCAGAGTAAGAGAGAGCAAGCCTGGAAGAAGCAGCAAGTGAAGGAAATGAATGCATGATTTAACACACATATGAATTTGCAAACAAATGTAACAGCTGAATAATTCCTCTGATGGCCTTTCATTTTTCAAACCTTTATCTGTCCACAAGCTACTTCCTGTGTTAATTCATGAACCAGCAACTCTTCTAGTTTAGGACAGTACAGACATTTAAGTATAGTGTAAACAAGGCATGGTAGTCATTTTGTTTGTTTGCTTGTTTGTCTTTGTTTTTCCAGATGGGTTTTTTTTTCCCCCTGTAGCTTTGGATCCTGTCCTGGAACTCACTCTGTAGACCAGGCTGACCTCGAACTCCAATATTCACACGCCTCTGCCTCTTGAGTGATGGGTTTAAAGTCATACCCCATTACCACCAGCTGGGTAGCACATGTTTTTAATCCCAGTGCTCAGGAGGCAGAGGCAGAGGCAGAGGCAAGGGTTCTCTTTGAGTTTGTCGCCAGCTCAGTTCATATATGGAGTTACGGGTCAGCCAGTGAGATGCTGTCTCATAAAAACATTCATGCTTGCTCCCCAGCCTCTCCTGTTGTTATCTGTCCTACATGCCATAAATGGAAATCTTAAGGATATTCAAAATATTTCACATGAACACTAAGTTTCATCACTAAAATTAGAACCAATTTTAAAGGAAAGTTTGTCCTTCATTCCGGCTTGTGGAAAATTGGTCATTATTAATATTTTCAGACTTCCTACCTTAGATTCTGTGATCTCCTGGTTCTAAATCTTTTTGGATTGTTGCTTTTTTTCCCCCAAAGTTTTTTCTTCTTCCTCTTGCACAAACTCCAAGGTTTTTATATCTATTGAGACACTTATGTCCATGTGGGCTTACCCTCAAACTTTTAGACATAGGATTAATATTTATTTGTTGTTGTTGTTGTTGGTGGTGGTGGTGGTGGTGCTTATGTGCGTGCGTGCGTGTGTGTGTGTGTGTGTGATAAGTAGAGGCTGCTCTTGAATTCTCATTTTCCTGCCTTTTCCTTCTAACTGTTTGGGTAACAGACATTAGTCACACTACCTACCCTCATAATGAACATCATAAATGATGGCTCTCCTTTTGAAGATGCAAGTTGAGTGTGAAATTCAAAGTTCCCCTCTCGCTACATCCCAGGTTAAGTAAATATGAGGGAACAGCAATTGTTGGTCCACAAAGGAAACCGCCACCTACCTCATGATTTTCTACAGGAATGGGGTTTATTAGAATAGAATGGCCTCAAGGCTTTGAATCAGGCTTCAAGGTGAGAGGGAGAGGGTTAGGCCGAAACAGCATGATATGTGTGAGGATCTAGCATGATGGGCCTTTAAAAGAAAGGGAAGTTTCATTCATTTTGAAACCTCGACAGGAGCTTCATTATAATAAGAGTGATGAGTGAGATGTGTGGGGACTTGGGGGAAGCAATACAGACGCCTATGAAACAGAATTTCTGCTTTTGTATAGATACAGTTGGAGAAATAGTTGTTTAACAATATGTTGCTCCATATGTCTATTATGGGGAATATATGTGTGCATACCTAGACCCACATTCCTATGTACCAACACACTTTAACTCTGTTATCTTTACACCAATATGGAAGGCCTCCATACCTTGATATGTTTTGTGGGAGAAAATGAAAGTGACCTCTTCAATATGAACCCACATCAGGTTATTCTCATTCATTTAACAGATACTCTGCTTCACGAATTATTGCTGTTCCTCCTGGCCCTTTGTGGAATTTGATTTTCCACTTAAGGTCTATTTTACTTCTCTACATTTGGCATGCCAGTGATGCCCTTAACTTGATTATTAGACGTTGTTACATTCATGTTATATTTCAGTGTTTGAAATTGACTTTTATTCCTTTTTGCAAAATGTCACCGAGCTGATTTAAAACAAACTGATAAAGCAAAATTGTTTACATGGCGATTTAAAAAGATTAGCATAGTAAAGTCATTTGAAAGCGCCCAGGGGGCTTATCACCCTCAGCCTGGTATCTTTAAACAGATTCAATGATGGGTAGGAATGGTAAGGGCTGCAACAGTAGCCATGAGCCAGAATTTCTGTAGCTTTTGCTGTTGTTCTGCCTTTTGGGATTGCTAAGTGCTTTCCCTTGCATTTTCATAATTCCATAATGTCTTGAAATAACAGCATATTCCCAATGTTTTAAAGAGACAAAATTAAAGTCCTTTAAAGGGGAAAGTTGAGCTAACCACAGGGTGACTGAACTTGGTGCAGAATATGACTAGAGTGCCAGTGATGGGAGCCCACAGGTATTCATAGCTGCTCCACTCAAGGTAGCATCTTCTGCCAGTGGTGAAAGTAAGATTCACTGCCATGCATGGCTGACATTGGGATGGCGCACTGACCCTGTCGCCATCATCATCTCCACACTGACAATACTGGTATGGTTTGGATGTGTCATGTCACCTAATGTGGACAGTAGCCATCTCTCACTTTTCTCAGGGATAAAATTGGGACACCGACACTTGACTTGGTGATGTTTCTAGCTGAATGACTTGAAAATATTCCTCATGTTCTATCACATTTCAATTTCTAAACTACGAAGAACCTAAAAGTTTTCTGTGTACAGGAAACTATTTGAGTTGTTGATGGGCACCTCTTATTAAGAACCATAAGAATTTATTCTAGTTTATGTAAACACAGATAGATCAGTCATAGGTAGAGGCTAAGCCTTTCTATGCAAATATCACTGGTTTGGGGAAAGAATGAAATATGGGATTGGTTGTGTAGGAAAGAAATACAGAAGCCAGTATTCCGTATGCTCTGTGTTTCCATTTATCCATTGGAGTTACAAAATATACAAGGCTTAATTAATGGCCATGAAAAGAAGAAAGAATATTCAGTGAAAGACAGCTTCAAAAGAGCAGGAGGAATAAAGGTTGCAAAGATAAGGTCATATGCTAACTACCTAAATGCAAATATTCCAGTGGGCAGACAAAAGTGAAAACTGGTATGTTGGTTCTTTTTTTTTTTTTTAAATTCCTATAAGTGTTTTTCTAAATAGTTCACTTAGTTCATTTGCTCAATTTCCAGAGATTATGTGTTTTCCACTGAAACAGTGTGTTTATTAGTATTTCAATTGTGCATGTGACCGGTTAAGAAACTATAATAATTCTTAAATAATTGTATTATTATTTACTTGCCCTCAAATTTAAGCATGATCTTCCCAGAGAATTAGTGGTCCGTGTTTGAACAAGCAATTTCATTATTTTATCACAATGTAAAATAGTGTTGATAATTATTATTGATTGTATTGTTTTATTCTTAGTTATTCTGTCTTCTTTGCGTTTGTATAAGGTTGCCATTACCACCTGGAGCTTTTTCGGGACTTTGGAAGAATCAGGAAGCTTTTAAGCATTTATACTTCGAGAAGTTTCCTGTGAGAACTTTAATATACTTTCAAGTTTTTTTGTGTGTGCAATTTGTTTGTTTGTTTGTTGTTTTTAATCTGGCACCATAAGGAACTTGCTTCTCGGATCATAGATCAAAAATAACTCTTCAAATCTATGCAAACCAGCTTTCAGATCTCAGGGATAACAATGGTGAAATCAGAATTATCCAAACCAGTCAGTTGGATAATCATTGTCAATCTCGATGCATGGGAAGTTTTCACTCACTCTTACTAACTATAAGTATCAGAATATTTTAGAAGTAAATCCAGTAATACTGGACTCTAAACACTTTGGACATTATACTGGAATCCTTTGTACAGACAGAGAGCCAGCAACCACTCCAAGCTAGAAATTCATTAAGACACCTCCACTAATCAAATGTGTTTTCCATTCCATTATCTAGTTTTGACAGTCCTTCTTAATGTTTTTTATTTTAAAATACCATTAAAAAATAACGATATTGGTTAGGAACAGTATTCATAAAGTCAGTCCCTCGTCCCAGTCTGTCAGCTTCTCATTCGTCTGTCACCCCATGCCAAGGTGTTGTGTGTTATGTTCATGGCCACACCCTTCTTGATGGTCCACATCAGCATCCTACACTTACCTCATCCTTATGATGTGCCAGGTCAAAATGAATGAATGATGAGGATTTCATAAGAGCCTTGAGTCCAAGTGTTTAGCATTCTAGCTTTATTGTGTGTGAGTGAAAGATAGATGCCCTACTCAACTAGACAAATGACAGGGATTAAATTGCTTTCTTTAGAAAGACATCCCAGAGTCAAGTGACCTCAACGGCCAAGATTAAACATTTTCCCGATCAAGTGTGGCAGAAGTATTTGTCATTTGACTTGACTCTAGTCAGCCAATTCAGTCTATATGATGAGCCACAGGTAATGCATCAGAGTACTGATACAATTCATTACCACATGATGATGGCAAGCAATATGGTCATGTGGTTTTAGCATGATTGCCTTTGAGATCAATAGTCTCCTCTTAGTCCCAGGGCATGGTTAAACTACAAGAGGTACCTTGACATTTTCCCTTGTTTCCTGACCTCATGCCTCTCATCTACAGCCTTGTAAAAGCATCAGTGGTCAAGCAATTTAATCAGAGCTCATGCAGGTTAGATGAAAAAGCCCTGAGGCCGTAACCAAAATAGCCAGCTCTTCACTGTTTCTCTAAGTGTGGCCTCCCCTAATTACTGTATGCAGTAAAAATTGCAATTCCTGAGAATGTGTGTCAGAATCTCTCCTCTATCATAGATACCATTTTGTAGAGTTCATTGAAGTCTGGTAAGGAGTATGGTATTATCTCTTTTCAGAGAGAACCATATCAAGTATTAAAAAGGGTAATAGATACAAATAGTTACTTGTCTGGGGTTTTTTTTTAGAGCCTAAGCTTAAACACAAGTATCAAATAAATTAGAGGTATTAAAGACAATATATATAGTTTTCTTCATAATTAGTATTTTTCTATTGTGATTTCTAAAAGAATAAAGGTGTATTACTTTGAGATTGGTGAAATATTGTATTTCATACTGATACTGATTATTAAGTTTCACTGAGGCCTGAGTTCAAGCCCAAAGTCAATAAACTAGTGATTTCTTTCTATAATTTTTATGAAAAGTTTTTGAAATAGATACAATTTGATATCTTCATTAAAAATTCCCTTATAACACCAAAATGTATCAGAAATATTGAGCCATTACTTCTCCATTAAAAAAAAGTAATTGGGTTCACAAACGTTAGAATCCTAAGTTCAAATACTTAGCTTGAACATATATAAGGATAGTTTAACTTCCCTAGAAGCAAAAGTATCTAATTTTCAAAACCAATAGTGATGTAATCTCAAAGCTTGTGAAAATAGTCAAATGCTCACAATAAAGGAACTTATGTCTCATTTGAAAATCATTCTTTCACTATTTAATTTTTAAATTAACTATGGCAAGTCTCTTTCATTGTATAAACTCTAAGCTTTTGTATTTGTATAGAATCTTGTGTCCATCATCAAAGGATAGCATATAAATTTCAACAGTGTAAATTAACTATTTATATTTTACCAAGCTTTGAAAATGATCATGTGTTATTGCTTTTGCATGCTAACTAAATATATGCATTTTTATTTTCAGGGCTACTATGACACTATGGATGCTGGCTACATGGATGAAGAAGGTTACCTATATGTTATGTCTCGGGTGGATGATGTAATAAATGTTGCCGGCCACAGGATTTCTGCAGGTGCTATTGAAGAGGTATTGATGGATACTGCTCTTCTGTGCCAAGTTATAACAATGAACATTGATGAACTGAGGTCTGGTCATCTGGAAAGTGGTGATGCCTTCATTTGTGAGAAAAGCTAGGATCTTCTCTCTCCAACACACACCTATCGGTGTCTTTCTGCCTTTTCTGCTTGTGTGCATTTCCATTTTACCCACACTTACACTTTCCTTCTTATGTGTTAAGTAATAATATTATGTTTTATTTTTCACTAAGGTAACAATTAACAATGTTAAACAGATTTGTAGGCATATTTGTCATGCATGTATATTTTTGATGGAATATCTAAAAAAAAATGTCTGTTTTGTTTTAAATGTCTTGATTAGTGTTTTAGTAATACACCTTTTCCAGTATCAGTTTCCTATTCCCTGCTGAATTACCTTAACTCATCCGCCACAAATCAGCTGATGCTATTTGAGTAGCCTGCTTTTAGCTCACCTGTCTTTAGTGTAGGAGTCTGCCATTTCTCCAGGAACAGGCCGGATTGATAGTGCAGCTTTGAAGAGGATTTTAAGGTCAAAGAGTATGTTTTCTGCCATTGCTGCTCTTTCTCAGTATCGCTTCAGCTGTTCTGACTCTTCTACATTATAGACGTGATGAACTTCCCTGTGGTCACAATGAATCCATTCACCAGTATTATAGCAAAACCCGTAGGTTTTAAGTCTACAGATTCCCCTAGGAAAATTTATATCCAAATGAATCTGACCTTCCAGCCCACAAGCTTTATTGCCTCCCCAATGAAGTAGGTATTCTTTGATATTTTGCTTTCATAATGTATTGTGTGAACATATTTTGGCAGATGCATTGTCGAGCATTTGATGTTTAGCTACTAAAGGTAGAGTATATTTTTTAAGTAGTTTACAAATACTAGTAAATGTATATATTTTGGCTTTTCTAAAATTTAAAGTACTAGGCTATTTTGCTAACTATATGTAACAAAATTTAAATGGATTTTTTTAACCTTTAGGTATCTTGATATAGTTTGTGTACAAGCAATGCTGTAATTTTTAAAAGCAGCTTGAGAAATATACCATGTGATAAAGCTCACATGGAAGGTTTTTTATTAGGGGAAAGGGAATGCAAAAAGGGGTGAGGGGAGGAGGGAGACCAGCATCAGGAAACAGGATGGGAGAGAGGCAGAGAGAGAGAGAGAAAGAGAGATGAAGAGATGAAGAAAGAGAAACTAGGAGAGGGAAAAGAGAGAGGGAGGGATAGAGAAAGGAAGAGAGGCAGAGACAGAGAGACAGAGACAGAGAGAGAGATGGGAAATGATCAGGGCCCTTTTAAAAGGGAACTTAGTGAATGTGCACAGGTGGTGCTCTTAGTGGCTGCAGCTGAGGGTGTATCCTGTCAGGACCCCAAGGACAGGCCAGTACATTTGCGTGAATACTGACAAGCATATTACTGTGAATATTGTTTCTTTTCTCTTTTTAAATCTGAAGGTTCTTATGTTTATTTTTCTGGTCTTTGTGAACTGGATGAAATTTCTTATTTAATATTAGCAAAAATGGTGAAAGCCAATAAATAGGATGTCATAGAGGGGTTCTTGAATTAATCATTTCTATTTCTAGGTTTGATATGATATAAACTCACCTAGTTAGGCTGTGGCAAGGCAGTTTTTATTTGTTTTTTGTTTGTTTATTTTGTTTATAATGTACAGCTTACATAGAAGAGCATGCAGTGTTCTGGAACCTTCCAATGTCATGCTTTTCCTCAATTTCATATCTGAAGTATGAGGAGATTTTTTGTCTCTGACATTCACCTTTGCTCTCATCTGTGAAGTTCAGATGTTCTGAAGGGGGAATATTCGTGAAATTTTCAGCTTTTAGCTTCTTCCACATTGAGCGTCCATCTCCTACACCTGCACTTGAACCTACAGAATTTGTTCCAGAAAGATGTGACTGTTTGTGTTCCCTTCTTAACTTTCCTTTTCCTGCAGTGACTTACCCTATCCCCTCATTCTTTAATATATCAAAAAAAATCATTGAATGTTTTGATTTGTCCAGTGACTGGTTGCCAGGGTAGAGTACTGACTTTAAAGCTAACAATAGAATCCAAATATCAAGCCTTTATTCACTCTGGCCCTGTTCGCCTCTCATTGGTTTCTATGAGATAAACTGGTATTTCACTTGGCAATGATGTTACCTGGGTTCATCCCACAGTGTCTTTAGGAATGATATCCACAGGGACAGGACGGGTAAGGGTCTGTGTGTATCCTGGCACATCCTGAGATAGATTAGGGTGAGTTAGCAGAGATCCATTCTTGATCTTCATAAGTCCTAATAGGGATGAGAAAGGCAAAGAGCAGAACATTTATGCTTTTAGTATGGGGTGGAGAGATGCCTGTGCCCCTCCCACAGGGTATGCTGTTCTTCATGAGAACAAAGGGGTTCAGCTTACTTGATGTTCAACTAGTATGAAGAGTGGAACATCTAGGGATCAGGAACTGGTCCCGAATTTTTGTAGTATTGATCTGGAGTGGAAAGATGAAGTCTGCTTCAAGGTTGCTCTCTCCCTTCATTTGATCCTCTGCCAAGGCATAGCATGTTCTTCTCAGATCTCTTTCTGTATACACTTATTTGAATTCCATATTTGAGGATATGGGAAAACATGTTATAAATCAGAAAACTAGGGAATGGACAGGAGAGTTGCAGATAGGAGTAACAGGAAGGTATAGGGCAGTGAACATAGGTAAAGTATATGCGAATACCATTTAAAATTTTCTTTATAAGCCCATCACTGTATACAAAGACTAATGCCAATCAAAACAGAAATTAAACATTGTAAAAAGAAAATGGAAAATATCGCCAACTAGTTTTACACTGTGGTTTGTGAAACAGCTTCAGTTCTCAACTTCTAGAGTCCTGTATTTTCAGTAAGAAATGAGTATATTGTTGATTCCTGAGAGATTCATGAAAAAAAAAAAAAAAACTGACAGGCAGCCATTATAGGTTTGAAGAGAAAACTGAAAATTCACTCTAGAGAAATATCCAGAGACCTACAAGGATGACCCCAACTAACAATCTGAGCAACAGTGGAGAGGCTACCTTAAATGCCTTTCCCTGATAATGAGATTGATAACTTACATGCCATCATAGAGCCCTCATCTCATAGCTGATGGAAACAGAAACAGACAACCACAGCTAAACACTGAGCTAACATCCTGGAATCCAGTTGCAGAGAGGGAGGAGTGATAAGAAAAGGGGTCAAGTCCAGGCTGGAGAAACCCACAGAAACAGCTGACCTGAACAAGGGGGAGCTCATGGACCCCCAGACTGATAGCTGGGAAACAGCATAGGACTGACCCAGACCCCCTGAACATGGGTCTCAGTTAGAAGGCCTGGGACCTCTGACAGTGGAACCAGGATGTAACCCTGGTACATGAAATGACCTTGGGAGCACGTTCCCCATGGAGGGATGCTCCCTTAACCTAGAGACAGGAGGGAGGGCCTAGCCCCTACTCCAAATGACTTGACAGATTTTTATGATCCCTCATGGAAGGCCTCACCCTCCCTGAGGAACAGGTGGGGAATGGGACAGGACGGGGAGTTGGGGGTGAGGGGGGGACAAGAAAGGGAGGGAGAGGGAACTGGAATTGTTATGTAAAAAAGAAAAAAATTAAAAGAAAACAATTCATAGTAACATTAATTTTGTCAGTTATAGGTAAAAGTATACTACTGAGAAAGGTGTTGTGTAACAATTAACCATCTCATAGGTATTTTAGTTGGTCACATGTCATTGTAACTAGATCTAGTTACTCCAATTTTTTTTTTTTTTTTTGTTGTTCCTATAGCAGAACTCTAGAATAGTTCTTATACAACATGGAATACACAAAGAGCAATTCAATGAAGGAAAATCTTGAGCTCACATGGTTAATAATTCAGTGTAAACGGCTCAAAAGATCCCATAGCCCATTCTTCTCCTTGTAATTGACAGTTTCATCTTCTCTAATGGCCATGTCTGATTTTAGGACAAACAGAACAACTTTATTTTTCTTGTAGTGATGACCCTTTTTTCTCTTGAGTGTCAGTCAGTGAGATTTTTTTTTGAATTAAAAAATGTCATAAAATATCCTAGAACATATCTTGTTACTAAATGCCAGCATTTTGTCATAACGTGAAATAGAATTTTTTTTTCCTTCGTGTATTTCAAAGTATTGTCAAATGCTGGTTCCGCTTGCATGAAATTTTAATTTCTTGCTTTTAGAAGATTAGTGCCACCGTTCATATGCCTTTCTTGAAGCCTCGCTAAGCGAACTATGCAAGTGATGTTTGCATAGCTCTTATAGGTTGGAGTCCTTAGTTTCCTTACTTTTAAATTAAAACTGTTGTCCTAGTCAGTTATTGTGGATTTTTATGCTTCTACTGATGTCCTCCTCACTGTGTGTAACAGCAGAATTTAGATAAGCTCAAATAAGCTAAGTAGAAACATGAGAAAAAGGACTGGAGTGGTTGACTTCTAGCAGAAATATTGCTATGTAGGGTCTTAGAATATTTCTTAGCCCCTGACTCTGAACTCTCTCGTAGTATAAATAAATGATTAACTAATCACTTTTTTAATATCTGGCTTGCTTTCCCTTTATTTGGAATCTTCTGTAGCATGTTCTTGCTTCTCATAAAATCGCTTAATAAATAATATGCAGCAGGTGTCTGCAATGTTCTCTCCGATATTTTTACTACCTCTTATTGATATGCCCCAGTCTTACTATTTAGTTTCTTAACTTTTCAATGAGCAAGGCTGGAATGTTAATAGTTTTAAAAGTAGGACGTGCCAAGTATTATCAAGAAGCGATTCATAACACATTTTATGGAATGTGATTTTTAATGCTATTATACTATTATCTTGTTTTTAAAAGGCTATAATTTATGATAACCAGAAATTTATGCTTTAGTGTATTTCAAAAGAATCTAAGGTTCTGACTCTACTGAAAAGTCCATTTCCATAAAAGTAACAATTAAGTGATGATATTTAATGCTGAAAATGCTTATCTTTTTCTAGTTTTACTAATTAAAACTTTAAATTTTTAACTTATTACCTTATAGTTTTTTCAATTCCTTTTCCCTTTATTTCCTTTAACCCCTTCAAATCCATAGACTCTTATATATATATATATATATGTATATGTATATATATATATATTATATATGTGTGTGTGAATATACAAAATATATTCATAAACATATTTATATATAACCATATATACCTTACAGAGTTTGTTTAGTATTGCTTGTGTGTATATGATTTCAGGGCTTACCGTTTGGTATTGGATAACCAATTGGAGGGCTAAATAAAATTTTAAAGGGGTATTAAATTAGCAAAGAACATAAATTCCGCTGATGGTCTATGAAGACCTCTGTAAGAAATATTATAGAACATTCTGTTCTTTCCATTCTTTGTACAAGTAAATGGAGCTGTCAAATAGTTTTTTATAAATTTAAAAGGACATAATTTTTTCAGATCCCAGTACAAGAAATAGCCTTCTGTGCCTACTTAGTGATAAGAGCTATTTTAAACACTGATTAATCTTTGAAAGCTTAGCGAGTAGCTAAAGGACCGAGAAATCTGAGGAAGTTCGAAGTGTTCTCGTGAAAATTGTGACTAAAAATTTCTAGTTCAGGGTGAGACAAGATGAGTAGAGTGCCAGCATATTCTCTCTTACTCGGGTCTCTCTTACTCTTATAGACAATGTCTGTGGGAAAGACATTGGACTCTCAGTTCAAATTTGTTAATTAATCTAACAATGTCCCTGGGAGTCTGGGAATCTACTCTGAAAACACTACCTGGAAAGCCCCGGGCAATGTCTTTGTACATTTCTTCCAGGAAAGTTGGCTCTGATGAAGCACAATGTTTTCCAAGTTAGATGTTTTGTTTGTTATTTTAAGAATGACTCCAATATGATCGAAGGGAAGTTGGCTCTGATCAAGCACAGTGTTTTCCAAGTTAGCTGTTTTGTTTGTTATTTTAAGAATGACTCCAATATGATCGAATATATTTCCATGTATTGCCATGTCCTCTCAAAAGACCCCTGGCCATTTCAGTTCCACCCAATGTTAAATAACTTTTATGTTTAAGTAGTTACAATATCTCTGAATATATCCTGGGAGTACTGGTGAAGACGCTGAACCTCTGTAACCATGTACCACAGCACTCTGGTGGTGCCTCTTTCTACTTGGCCAGTTGTTATGAGTAGGTTTTCTCCCAAGCCTGGTCCCAGAGCCATGCCAACTCCCAATAACACACAGAGACATTGTATTTGATATAATCAGGTTGCTCAGTTACTAGTGTTTCTTATTGGCTAGCTCTGCCTTAAATATTTAACCCATTTCTATTAATCTAAATTATGTGTGTCCATTAGATGTTGCTGTTCCTTATGTCCTGCAGACTTTCTTCTTGGCACTTCCTTCCTCAATAATATGATTTATGTCTACAACTTCCATTGCCATCTTCGCATGAATGACATCTCACTGTGATATGCAGACCACATATCTTCTCAGATCCCTGCACATAGTTTCTCTACTTGGGTGTCTTTAAGGTATCTGAAGGGAACATCTCCAAGGCAATATGTGATGTTTTCTTCCTAAGCCTAGCAATTTCTAGCTTTAAAAAGTAGACAAACAAACAAACAAACAAAACCAAGCAAACGAATAGAACAAAAATCATCATCCCCCCCAAAACAAAAAGTCAATAAAAGTAAAAAGCCAATTTGAATATAGAAACATTATGGACCTATGGGAAGGAATTTGGGCAGAGCAAAGGGATTATTGTTACTAAGGGCTCATGGAAATAGAGTATGGATGATCAGACAGGGCACTTTAAAATGAGTCAAGCTATTCTGTTCATTGTACAGTGGTGGTGATACATGTCATAAATTGTCAGAACCTATTAGATTATAACAAAGATGCACAAGTGTGTACAGAATGGACTTGAGTGACGGCAATTTCCAATGTCAGTTCCTTGTAACAAATATGCCACTTTGATGCAGATGAGTCAAGAAGGCTGTGTATACAATGAAGGCACGATCTCCGTGGGAACTTTCTGCTTAATTTATTGTAATTCTATGCCTACCCTAAATATACACCGTAGAATTTCACTCTGCCTTTGCATTTCTTCTTGAAACTGCTTCTCTTTCCCAGTGCTGCTATCATACAAGCTGAGTCAAATCCCCTAAGCAGCTACCATTTAGCAAGTTGCAGCTTCTCTGCCACCACCCACACTGCCTGCTCTCAGCTTTCCAGCCTCACTCATTTCTTTCTGAATTGACCTTGTTTAGTTTCATTGAGATTTTCCTGTCCCCTCTTCCTTGTCTGGTAAGTGTCTACCCCTATCTTTTTATTGTCTTCTGCTAAGGGAAGATGTCTCTGGGGTCCATATCCTTGGGTGACATTAGCAGCTTTAGGTGCTATCTTGCATTTATATAATCCATTCTCTCAGATACCTTAACAAATGGTCACAAAAATTAAAGATTCATGATGACTTATTAATATCTTTCTCTGGTAGACTAAGGTCTGTGAAATATTTGTCTTAGGGTTTCGGTTGCTTCAAAGAAACACCATGTCCAAAAGGCAGTTTGGCAAAGAAAGTGTCTATGAGGCTTACACTTCAGTGTTGCTGTTATCACTGAAGGAAGCCTGGGCATGAACTCAAACAGGTCAGGATTCAGGAGGCAAGAGCTGATGCCAGGCAATGGAGGGGACTTGCGTATAGATTTACTTCACATAGCTTGTTCAATCCACCTTCTTATAGGAAGCATGGCCACCAGCCCAGGGATGGTACCACTCACCATGGGCCGGGCCCTCCGCTGTTGTGATCACTGAATGAGAGAATGCCTCACAGTTGGATCACAAAGAGGCATTTCCTCAGCTGAGGCTCCTTCTTCTAATGATTCTAACTTGCATCAAGTTGACACACAAAACCACCCAGCACACTACTCTACGCATTTTTGCTCTTCACTGCAGTTTAGAAAGCATCCAGTATGTGTTGAATGGATGAACAGAAGACAGAATAACTCCAGAGGATGAGTTTGTATCATTCTCTTTGTGTCATGGCCTCTCTTATTACCTTTGGAAAGAGTGCAATATGCATCACGCTCAGAGGAGGTCTTCCACGTACACAGTTTTATAAGTTCCATCTAAGAAGATAATTGAACCATATCCATCTATATTGCCTGTGGTAAATAAGTCTGTGACCTGACAGATAGCCGTTTTGTTCAGTATGACATACAGAGCTAGGGTGGTCCTTATAGCAATGCTAATCTGATACCAAGGATCCTATGCATGACAAATCTTCCCTAAGTGTTTTGAAAGCCTCTCTAGGTGGAACGATCCACCCACTGAATAGAATGTTCCATTATTTCTCAAAAGCTAATTCACTTGTTCATTTTGGAGCATCCTTGGAAGCCACTGAAGGGCACACGTATTAGGTAGACAGTTCTGATATCGAGTCAAATAGCCCCCAAGGCTTCCTGTTAGAAAAGGCCCATGTGCTCTGTTTACATGTGGTACCCACAACATATTTTCTTTGACTTCATTAATAAGCAATTAAGGTGAACAAACAATCCCTTTACTTTCCAGATGAGCCAAGCAATTTATCTTTGTTACTGTCAGCCCTTAGTAACTACCTTGGGGATCCTAACTGATTGCCTCACATGAAATGGTATGAAGCTGTAGGAAATGCCAGGAAAACAGCTATGAATTATCATGATTCTCTTTTCTAATATTTTAATATTAGAAATCTAATATTTTAATGTTATATGTGTATTTATTCTAATAACACACATATATTTTAAAGACATGGCTTTTCTCATTCCAGTCTGTCCTTTCCCATGGCACTGTGACTGACTGTGCTGTGGTTGGCAAGGAAGACCCTTTGAAAGGTCATATCCCCTTAGCACTCTGCGTGTTGAAAAAAGGTGAGCCAGCTTTGTCTTAATTGGCTCTTGGGTCTGAATGATTCACATTAATTTTGGCACTTACCAGCTTGATTTTTTTCCCCTAGATATAAATGTTACAGAAGAACAAGTTCTGGAAGAAATTGTGAAACATGTGAGACAGAGCATTGGTCCTGTAGCTGCGTTTCGAAATGCTGTTTTTGTCAAACAGTTACCCAAAACAAGGTCTGGTAAAATACCACGGTCTACACTGTCTGCCTTGGTCAATGGCAAGCCTTATAAGGTACATAATTCAGAATCTATGACTCTGAGTCCTGAAATGGTTTTGCTCATATGTGTGGCATGAGCAAAATTCTGTTAAGGTTTTCAATCATGAATTCTATCCCAGCTAACCTTCTTCCTCGTCCATAAGAATGAGAGTTTGAGGAAGATATACATTGGTAAGAATCAGATGCTTTACTTACAGGAATTGACTGTGAATTTTGCTTTTAGCAATTTTGTAAATTTCAAACAGACTTGCAGAAATTCACTCCTTTGAACTAAATGTATTGATACTCACTAGTGGCTATCCATATTGAGAAAGTGAAGGACTTGAGAAGTCTAAAATGTTCTAATATATCAGTGCTAATTATTTCTACTAATCAAGAGTCGTAGGATTCTTTAGACTGATTCAAGTACATACACGTTCATACACGTTTCAGTGTTAATGCATCCTATTGTCTTGAACAGCTATAATTTCATCAATTGTCTGAGCGAATTTCCAAATCAATAAAAATACATTCCGGAGATTATGTGGAAATACCAAAAACTTTTCTAACACCATTATTTCTTTTACTATCCCAAAAGATAAATGTTTAAGTACTGTGCTTGAAGGCCCCTGTTCTACATATTTTTTCTGTGTTTATAACATCATTGGGGGTATAACTCGTGAGACCTGTAACCCTAGCATTCGGGAAGTAAAGTGTGGCAAACCGGGAACTCAAGGCTGACCTCTGCTTTGTAAGCCAATCTGTATGTACTACACGATACCCTGTCTCAAGAAAAAAAGAACTGAAAACAAAACCAAAAAGACAAATGCTGAAGCAAAGCATGTCACTGTTGTGCAAAAAGTCCCAGAGAAGTTCAAGAGGAAACGATCATCTGACACTGTCCATTTCTTTCCAGGTCACTCCTACTATCGAGGACCCCAGCGTTTTTGGTCACATAGAAGAAGTGCTGAGGCGGACCTTGTGATTTTTATTTACTATTTCCAGTCAGTCTGTCTTAGTTTTCTAGCTGGACTTAAGTTGTTTATTTTCTATAAATAAGCACGTGAAGAAAATCCCTTACCAAGTCAAATGTGAGCCTTAGAGTTAGGTTAATTCAGCGTAGCAGCCCCCGGAAGAGGCTGTATTTTGTGTTGTTACCTGAGCCAGTTCGCACTATCACCTCTTTCCTGTAACACGGGTCATTATATGGTTATCTCTAACATTAAGTAACATGTCTTTGGTGTATGATTTTAGAAATCCATGTGTCTTGCAAACACATTTTAACTGAAAGCACCTAATATAAATGCACTTACAGGAGATAAGAACTCGTCACACTCTGATCAAAATCTAAACTCAAATCAAAGTCAGAATATAATCTAAAATGTTATCATGGGAACTCAAATGTTGCTTAAGATGACGACCTTGTTTCTTAGTAATCATCTAGACAGACTAGGTTGCCTAGCAACCCAGGGTCCCAGGGTGGAGCGCCCTTTCTAGGTTTTCTGTTACTGGGTAAGGGGGGACATATGTCTGGCAGCGAAACTGCACAGCTTTCCACCAAACCTTTTGTAGAGATGAAGGCTTCTCAAATTCCCTGCCACAGTTGTCTGTGTGTATCTTGATGCCTTCAGATGGCATCAAGGAAATGGCATACAAGTGGAATGGAATGGAGTGGCAGGAAGAATGATATAAAGAGAAATTACAAAGTTTTCATCTTATTCTAAAAACCATGGACTTTCTGGATGCTATCAAGTCCCCCATTGTTCCCCCCCCCCTTTTTTTTTTTCCTTTCTTCTTACAAGGTCACATGTTTCCTAGGTTGGGCTCATATTTGCTGTATAAGAGTGGCTGACTTTGAAACCCTGGTCCTCTTGCCTCTAACTCCTGATAGCATGAACCCCCGAATTTAGCTCCAAATTAGCATTTTTTCCTTTCTTATGGGATTGTATCTAAAGCCTCATGCATGCTAGACAAACGCTCTTCCAATGAGCTATGCTGCAGTATACCAGTGATTTCAGAGTGGATCCTTGAGCCACATCCCTCCACAAGGGATTTTAAGAACAATATGGAGACTTTAGTACTGGAAATTATGTGTTCTCTCTAGGAGGTAGTCCCAGACAAATATGGCTCAGGAGGGAGACTGAACAGCATCACAAGAATCTCTTGGTTCCAAGACACCCCCAAATATCTTCTTTTATTGCGAATTTTAACTTTGAATAAGTGTTAATTCATTTAAAAATTATACTCTAACATTTATTTTTATCTATGTTTCTGTATAAAGTGAGTCTTTTAAAAAAAATTGAAAGTGAGCCTTTGATAAGGTTATGGGAATATGTTCATTAACGAAAGTAGAAAGAAATAGTTAACTAGCTTAGAGCTCTCCATGTGTTACCCATCAGAGCATGCATTTAAGTCCTGCGTTCACTGAATCATGGAGTTTTCTCAGAATAATTTCTCAATCCTTAAGTTTTTGCAAAACAATATTATGATGAACACAATGTCCTAACAGAATAGTCCAAATACATGAAATACGGGCGAAAAGCAACGGGTTAGGATGTGCTTATCATACAATTATGTGTACGTTACACAAAAGCTCTCTTTCTAGGACTCTTTGGACTGCTGCTTAGATAGTGAGTGGCTTCTAAAGGAAACTACCTTCTTCATTGATAAATCTGAAAACAATTCTTTATCATCTTTATTTTGATAGCCTCGGTCAAATCAACTGGATAGGTGTTTTATAACTGGAAGCTGTCGAGTTCCTTGAATTTTCCGTTGTATATATAAATTATATACATTATCGAAACTGTAGGGTTTACAAATCACTTTTAATATGTTAGCATTGCAACACAGTTCATCCCACCGCCCAACATGAGTTGGATATTTTAACTGAAATCATCATTTTTCTTTTGCGAGTTATAAACCCGGGCAGCTCTAAGGATTGGGCAAAGAAAGATTCCATCTTTGGACCATTTATAGACATGCGTCTTTGTCAGATCTGAAGGGACACCTTAGCAAACAGGCCTCCGTATCACATTTCTGGAGGAGTTGTTTTATCTTTTGGTGGGGAACTACTCCATTACAGTTCAAAAACAGTGGTCACATTCCTGGGGTTATGAAATATATAACTTAGTCATCAGACTGCTTAAAATTTGGGGAGAAAATTCGATAACGTCCCATTTTAAAACTCACCATCCTTTTTTTTTTTTTTTTTTTTTTTTTTTTTTTTTTGTCAAACTGCATCTAAAATGTTTTGGATTTAGTGTGTCTTTGATAGCAATAATACAATCTAAGAAATGTGAGCATATTAAATTTACCTGAATGGATTCTGTGTGATCTTGTATTTTATGGAATTTTTAAATTTGTAATACATTTGAGAAATTAAAATAAAACTACTTCTAGTAGTTAAAGAGTGTGCTGATTTATTTTCCCCCATATTTCAATTCCTAATGTTGATGGTCAAAAGGGTAAAACAAACAAACAAAAACAAAACCCATCCAGAAATTCTATCCAGGAAACTCATTTTCAAATATGACTAAAATTTCCTTCTACATTAAAGCATATATATTTTACATTTCTTAATCAAAGTGGTTGGACATTGCATCACACTGTTAGGACCTGGTACATTACCACCAATAATTTTTTTTAAATGTAATTTCTCAAAAGAAGGAACTGATTTTGGTGACTGAGTGAGTGGTTGCTGTAGTTGGGTATGGAATTTCTCCCAAACCTTCTGAGCTCAGTGCTTGGTGAGTTTGATAATGATGAGGGGAAATGCTTAGGTCACTGAGCAGTGATGCTCCCAAGGGGACTGTGGTCCCACCCTAGTGCCATCATCTTCCTCCATTTTCCGTGGCCACGAGGCAGGCCATTTTCTCTCCTGCTTGCTTCCTGCCATGCCCTTCCGTCCCACTTGATTTCCCAAAGCATTCGGACCTGCTGGGTCTTGAGCTTGATCACCCAAAATTACTAGCCAAAATAACTTCTTTATAAGTTAGTTATCGCCAGTATTTCACTGCAGCTCCGCAAACACACACACACACACACACACACACACACACACACACACACACACCTACCATTGTTTCATATTTCATTTAGATGATTTAATTCCCATTATTTGCTGCCCTTTGCTTCTTTCATCCTGTTTTTTTTTTTTTTTTTTTTTTTTTTTTTTTTTTCTTATTATTTAAAAAATCCACTTCCATCAGCTGGTTTAGACCTCCCTCTAGTGGCAGACTTGATTTTGAATAAAATGGCATTGGAAATCATTGAATGGTAATCTTTTGTAATTCAAGTAAATCGTTAAATGTTATGCTACTAGAAAACAAAGCTTAAGCAGAAAACTGGAAGCATTTTTTTTTTATTGACAATGGAGAGGGTTTCTGTTACCATTACCTTTTGATTGAATCTGTTCAACAAAAATAGACATCAAAACAAATGTACGTGCAAATATAACAAATTAAAATACAAAATATTTTTTTTTAAACTAGTGACAGGTCTTGCGTTTAATAAGACCAAGCAGCAGGAAAACAGCAGTTAGATCAATGGTATATTATTAAATAGGTTTCACTTTGAAATCTCCCATATAAACAAGGACTAAACAACAGTGACGTCACCAAGTAAAGCCACAAGAAAGAGATGACCCCTCTACTTTTATACACTACATATGTTCATCATTCTGTCTTTATTTTCTGTGATGAAAATGAATTCAGGGAAGTCACAAAAAAGTCATTTCAGCTAAAGGCTTAGACTTGAGTCTGGCTAATGCCCTGTTAACAGTGATTATAAAAAAGGGAGGTGGGTGCTAATGGGTTCTGTTTTTTTTTTTTTTCCTAGTGGAGATGGGTCTCAGACTCTACAGTGCTTGACATTCACTGTCCAGTGCTGGCTGGCAGTTCGGGATATTGAATGAACATGTATTTCCTAATAAAGAGGGTGTGTGTGTGTGTGTGTTTGTCTGTGCTGTGTGTGTGTGTGTGTGTGTGTGTGTGTGTGTGTGTATGTTTCTTGGTCCACAGGTAACAAGATTAGACAATGTTTTTCTTAATATAAATTTTTAAAATCATTGCATTTGATGCTTGTAAACAGAGTTTGGCTTTGTTTTCTGTTGAAAAGGAGATTGAGCCATCACAGTGCTTTTTCTACAGAGAAAGGACATCACATCCCTGATTGCCTTTAAAGTTTGTTTTTGGCTCCAGGTCCTGGTTAAATCATTCTGTGTTTTTTTAATTTTTTTTTTTTACATGATCAGAGGCAGGTGTTCAGCTTTAAGGTTTGACATACTTGGAGGAGAAGCATGTTGAAGCACAAAACATGCTTCTTGGAAACATACTGATTGACTGTTACAATTCAGAATCTGTAAAAATGGTAGAATGGCAAAATACAAACGGGACTTGGAATTGTTCAATGTTTGCACTCGAGACTCCATGAACCATATATTTTATTTTTTAAAAAATCATATTTATATCCATTTACAGAAGACTTACACATTTAAAAAGAAATGATACACAGTCATACATCAATGCCTATTATATTACAACATGAAAAGACAAGTAATTCCATCTCATAAAAGCATCAGATGTACAGTTTATGATGTGGATGACGTTCATATTTCAGATGACTTAAGCATTTTATTACAATCATAGTAAACTAATCAAACTTATTATCTGACTCCCCCCAAATCACGCTTAATGTTTGGTAAACTGTTACTTATATTATTTCCTTAGAATTCAGTCTTCATAAAGGCTTTCTCCATTTGTCTTCTTAGGCAGTAGTGCACTTTAGGTCGTGTAGACTGAAAAGATAGCATCTGTAAAAGGAAATGTATAGCGTGAGTTCACTGACAGCTTCTAGACAGGGGACCCCACACTGTTCTCTGGTGTATGCTACCAAGCAGGCTGCATAAGTCTGTTCTAAAAACCTCAGTGCAAAGAACACTTACTAGGATGTAACCAATAGTAGATAGTGTGATATTTACTGCTCTCCACTTATTTATTTCCGGGGTGTTAAGTAGAATTTATTCAATTTGGGCAAAAATACAGCTATAATAGAAACAAAGATAGTCATATAAAATGTCAGCATGCCTTCTGAATTTGTTATAGGTTGCTAATTATTAAATTGGGTTGAATTGACCTATTCCATAGAATAGATTTAGATTCTAGCTCACATATTTTAGAGTTTTTAAAATGATGCTTTACTTTAATCATAACAGAACATAAAACATTTTGAAGTTTCTGTGTCAGCTGTATGTATTTCACCACAGACTACAATCATGATGTCACATAGGAAACACTCACAATTACTCTTACTGACACAATAGATTGATAAAAAGGATGACCGGACTTCATTGTTCACAACAGTCATTTTAATTTCTCACCAAAATGAAAATAAGGATTGCCTATGATTATCCTAATGATAAATATCTTCTTTCCATTTAAAGCTTAAAAACTAGGAAATATGAACTTAGAATGGCATGCAGGAAAAAACTGCAGTAATTCAAGAGTAATTCTACCCATAAGCCTAGAGCTAAGCAGCAAGCACTACTGAACATATTAGTCATTTATAAGCTGGTAAATTATTACATTTATGAGAAAGTTATTATGCTATATGTTGAGTCTGTTATAAACAGTATTTTGGAAAGTCTCTTATTTAGAAATATGGTTATATATTTTAAGCCATGTCTTATGAGACCAAATAGTATATAAAAATAAAAAGAGTTTATATTAGTAGAACATTTTGTGAAATTAAATAATTTCAATGTTTTTTGTTTTCTGTTTTGTTGGTTAGTAACCTATGTAAGGCAACATATTCGCTCCAAAGTTAGTTTCCCAAGACAACACTATGTTGTATAGAGATCCTGATTTAAGGTAATGAATAAATAGTACAAGGCAGATTGCTGCTCTATCTTTCTGTGTTCTTATCATATCCCTGGGTACATATACTGCTGGAAAAGTATTCTTCCCCAAATATCAGGTCACTGAAAATCATAGAGTAGTTTTGTATACCCAAATTTTAGATTAAAGTATTTTAAAATTTTTGAAATTTCTAAATCTAACAAACCATTTTAAAAGAAAATTCTGTGTTATATAGATAAAGCAATACTTTCCACTGATTAGTAATTCCCTATAAATGCCATATATATGTATGCCTGTGTATATACACATATACATATATACACACACATAAGATACAGCAAAGTTTTATGCAATTTCTATTCTCAATTCTAATTTTTGTTCCTAAGTTGTATTTCCCAGATTCATAAAATTAGTACTTGATTTCAGTAAATATAAATCATATTGATGGAAAACAAGACATTGGAAATGAAATATTTTTATTTTCAACGTTGCTGTAAATATTAATCCATGTCTAATTTCCTGCCTCTTACATATTTGACTGAAAACTTGCATCAATTCCTTATTCTATTTTGGCTTCCTTCTTAGACAGACACGTGAAATCTGATTCAAATGCTAATGACACTTTTTGGAGTCAATATAAAAGGCCACTGAACCCATTAATGTGTGTTGACTGAGTGGCAGAACTTCAACAAGTAGACCACTAAACACAGAAGGCAGTAATGATAGGAGGTGTTAGATGAAGAATTATAATGTAACGATTCTTCAGGGGTGATCACACCTCTGCACTGCTAGGCCACCCCAAAGGGTGTGGGGCATGTGGGCTAGCTCTGTAATCCCCATCTTTCTGTTGGAATCCCCATCTTTCTGTTGGTTTGTTGTTGGTCAGCCAAGAGAAACTACTCACAGCAGGTCAGTCAGTGCTGCCTCCTTTGAGTGGCTTGTCAACATGAGTATGTGCGAACAGTGGAGTTGTCTAACCTCTGCAGCCTTGAAGAAGCAACTGCGAAGGAGAAAAGTGCTTTAGTGGGTCTCACACAACAGATGAGAGGGACTGGTCTTCTCTGTGTGGAGGGGTCCTGACTGTATTAGCAGGCTATCTTTTCTCAGACACGAGCACTCACATTCTTCGCCTCTAGCCCCAGTGACTAATGAAAATTTACCCCAGTGCAATTCAGCTGAGCTCTGCAGCAGCTACTTATCCGTCCTTAGAGGAACTCTGTAACAAGGCACGTCCCCAGGTGAGCCTACTTTTGTTGTAAGGATTACTCTCAGAGAACTCAGTATTGCAGACTGTGTCCCCCCCCCCCCACCTCTATGTAGTGACAAACTTCTATACTGCTTTTAATCATGTTAAATTATTCGTGAACCTCGCTAACAAGTTCCAAAATATTATCATGCTAAAAGAAATGTGGATCAAAGACACTTTAGGCTTAGATGAATTGTAATTGCCTTAACAGCTTGAAAAGAATGAAGAGTCTAGATTATTATCTTAATAACAAGAGAAAGACTATTGTTCTTTAACGCCTACCAAACATGAATGACTTGAGGATTAGAGTTACTATTTCAGAGTTCTCTCTCCAGAATGACTGTTTTCTTTTGTGAAGGATGTGGTGTAAGTCTAATGTCCACAGAAAGAGATGCAATTGGGAGATCACTGTTGGTTTTGTGTGTGTTAATTCTCTTCTCGTGTTTGTGCTTGGTCAGAGACAAATAACACCTGACGAATCTGAATTTGAAGGATAAAACTCAACATGTGTAGTATTTCAATGCATAAAAGTGCCAGTACAGTGAATTCCCACTTCAGGTAGGATTTGCTTTGAAATCCAACCTCCATTTTAAATGGGTAGTTTAACTTGGGAATAGAAGAGTAAAGAAATGCAAATTGTGCATATGTATATTATATTTTCCTAGATGTGGACATTAGCAGAACTGTTTTTGGTGGGATGTAAATTACTTTTCAGATGTGTATAAAGTCTAATGGATTCATGGACTGGCAGTTTACAAATGGTCTTTTTGATTAAAAAAAAAAAAGCAAAGTAAATTTCAAGAAGAACAAGCCAACATAAGGAAAGAATCAACTGCAGAAGCTTTGCAGAGTTGAAGGATTATATAGCTTCAGCTAAACAAGCTTTTTACTTCAGACGTAGAAATGCAAAACTACTGTACCATCCGCCGTCACTTTTCTTGACTGCCCAGACGTTGTGGTTAACCTGAATCCAGCTGGTAATGTCTCTGAAGACCCAGGCATCATGCTGATTCCGTGGACCTCACGCGGCGGGAACTGCCGTCGCCAGGTGGATCCACGTCGGAAATTCTTGTCATCGTTCTGCCAGTACACAGTTAGAATTTGATGTCATGAAAACAAATGAGCTGCGGTTCATAAATCAGTGTGCTCAGGGGCATGTGATGGAGATTATTTAAATTCAGTCTGTCAAGTCCATTTAGGAATGCTTTGCTTCATTTTGAATGTCTTTGTTGTTTCCAGGAGGAGACAGTAAATATGACAGAAATGTTTTTCAAGTAAAATTTTAATGTGGCTTTAAATCCAAAGTTTGTCACCTTTATTCATTCTTGAAATCATAAAATACTGAAGACTTTTTTTAAAAAAATCTAAATGCAACATTGGATTTATTTGGTTAAACTTCATGCTAATGGAGTTTTTTTTATATGAACTGATATGCTTAATTTCATCACTTGTTAAGTAGACTACATATGAGTGAAATAAATGAAATTGTATTTTTATGTACACCAAAGACAGACAGTATCCAAAAATCTGTATTTGAGACACAGTAAGAAATGCTGAATTTGTGATTTGTTAGATTTTAGGTGATTACGAGTTAACTGGAATTTTTTGAAAAACCTTTGTAGATTGGGCTTCATCATTTCAATTAGCATATTTGATTTTAAGGTGATACTAAAAGCAAAGGCTAACTAACTCTCATTAATAAAAATTGCATGCTAATTATACTGTTCCTGGTTACCTTCCAGAACTTGATGTTAAGACCTTATTGCTGAAAAAATCAGATATATGAGTCATAGGACATGATGAGATCAAGCTGGAAGTATTCTAGAAACTTCAACCCTACTAGTTAGCTTTCATGCTAATTATTTTACTGTACTCATTACTGGAAAGAAAAACAACCCTCAACCATCTTATACAGCTATAATATATGCAAGTGGCAACCATCACTAACTAGCCTGACAAAACATGTCCCTGGTCCAATGGTGGCACTTACATTGTGTGAGTAACCAACCACTTTCAGGTTGAATATAAGGCCTAATCCACAAGATAGGATTCATATACCATGCACCATTTTCAGGGCCAAGAACATGTGGCTAAACAGGATATAGTATCCTAAGGGGGAATTTACTAATATTGTTCTGCTAAAGGCATATAACATTTAACTGACTTCTAATGACTTGTCATTTTACCTATAGATTAGTGTAGCCCTCAAACCTTATCAGAGAAGCTTCTTTGTGCAGTAAATGAGGTTTAATCTAGAGACTCACCACCAGTCAAGGTGCAGAGAATAAGAAACTGGAATGTTAAGCCTTTTATCAGACATCCTGTATCACACCCATTTCTCCTGAGGCTCCAAGATCATTGTAGAAGATGGAGTAGAATGATTGTAAGAGCCAGAGGTGGTAGATGCTTACAACAAAGCTGTGTTCTAGACACATCAGGGGAGCTGAACATATGAATTTACAGTGGTGATGATAGCAGGCCAAAGACTTGAGCATGCTCAGGCCAGACAAAATCCCAGCCCGGAGAGAGAGAGAGATGACCCTCAAATCTCACCCATAACTGATAGTTGCTGGAAGAGGGAAAGTTAGTTTTCTCTAAGGGTATGCCCCCTGGGAGACTGACAACTTTGAAAGGCCATGACTCCAAAAGTATATGGATATCACTAATTGGATTCTGTGTGTTTACAAAAGGGACGAGGACCTAAAGTAGGATGGATATGACATGGAGAGAATATTTGGGAAGAGTTAGGGGAGGAGTGAGTTTAATGAAGTGACAGTGTATGGAATTTTCAATAAAGAAAAAAATTATGTAGTTATGGTCACTAACTCTGTTTTGTTGCAACAAAAATTACTTTCCCTTTTCTGTATACATAAAGTACCTATACAAAGGCAATTATTTTCCCCTGGATTAGTAAGTAGAAACACATAATTTGCCATTGTATGTGTGTGTGTGTGTGTGTGTGTATGTTTCCAGCAAGTGCATAAATCATTCCATATAGATCTTATCTTCTAATATCACCAAGACTCACTCCCTGAAGCTATGCACTCAGCTGCAGCCACTAAGAGCATCACCTGTGCAGGATCACTAAGTTCCCCTTTCAAAGGGCCCTGCCCACCCCCTCCCTCCCTCTCTCTCTCTCTCTCTCTCTCTCTCTCTCTCTCTCTCTGTCTCTCTCTGCCACCCCCAGCCTCTCTTTTCTCTTCTGCTGCTCCTGTCCTCAGAAACTGGTCTCTCCATTTCCCTCCTTTGCATTCCCTTTCCCCTAACAAGTCCTCTCCCCAACACGAGCTCTGTAGCATGGAGTCTGTCTCTAGTGCTGCCTTTTAAATTACAACAGCTGACAGCTAGGGAACCTGCATGGGACCAAACTAGACCCTCTGAATGTGGATGACAGTTATGTGGCTTGATTTGTTGGCTGGGGGAGGGGGAGCTGGCAATGGGACCAGGATCTATCCTGGGTGCCTGAACTGGCTTTTTGAAGACCATTCCTTATGGTGGGATATCTTGCTCAGCCTTGATACAGGGGGATGGGGGCTTGGTCTTCCCTCAATTTGATATGCCAGACCTTGGTGACTCCCCAAGGAAGGTTTTATTCCCTCTAAGGAGTAGATGGGGAGTATGAATGGGGGTGGGGAGGGGAAGAAAGGGAGGGGGGACTGGGGTTTGTATATAAAATGAAAAATAAATAAAAAAAACTCAATATACATACATTAGAACTTCTCAAATTAGGTCAATTTGAATTGTTATGGCCAACATAAATGTGGCCAATAGAAGCCCAGAAGTAAATTCACTATACTTAAAAGCAAGTTGCTTAATTAGTTTTCCTCAGATTCAAACACTGGGCAAAAGATGTTACAATATTGCTGTTATTTAGTGTGTGTGTGTGTGTGTGTGTGTGTGTGTGTGTGTGTGCATGTGTGCATGCGCGCGCGTGTGTGGTATATGCATGTGTTCATGTGTGTGTCTGCATATGGACCAGAGTTCTTTGTTAATCATTATCTGCCATTTTTGTGAGACTTGGCCATTTTGTACCTTGAGATTACCCAGCTAGTTTGTCTGTCAAGCTACTCCAGTAGTGTTTCTGTCTCAACTGCTCTAGTGCCCAAATCACAGATGTGTGGTGTCTTCCCTGGCTCTACATAAATTCCTGTCTTCATGCTTGTATGGCAAGCACATCACTGACTAAACTACCCTTTCAGTACTTTAACTGTGTTTTGGGAAATATAGATCGTTTTGAAGAATATACGTCATTCTGATTGGAGAATATTTCAAATAGTTTAGGAGTTAGGACTTATGACTTAGAAAACAACCACATTCCTTATTTAAAAGTTGGACTTACCAATATCAGTTTTTTAAAAATTAAAATATGATTACATTATTTTTCCTTCCCTTTTTTTCCTCTACAATCCCTCCCATGCCCTAACCCCCAAGTTCATGCCTCTTATTTAGTTTTGAGATTAAAATATAATTACATTTCTTTCCTTTACTCTCTCCAAAAACCTCTGTAACACCTCTCCTTGCCCCCTCTCAAATTCGTGTCTTCTTTTTTCAATAATTGTTATTACGTGCATACATATATGACCATATATGTATCCCTACATATAACCTGCTGGGTCTATGTGTGGTGCTGGTGTCTATGCTTTTTAGGGTAGACCATTTGCTGTTGGACATCAGATCAGTGTGCCCTTCTCTGGGGAGACTACTATAAGTTATAAGGTCCTTCTGAAAATGAGGTGACAACTTACTTCATCCAGTCGTCGCTCAGTTCCCAGAGCCAAAAGGTTATTGTACTCGCGTTCAAGAATCTGCCTTGCCTGTTAATATCAAATCAAACATTCTGTCACTAAAGTTACATTTTATTTAAAAAAAAAAACATAAAGGTTTTATTCATCTGAAGTCAAAGAGCTTTTAGTTCAAATGCTTGTTTTATTCCAATTGAGCATCTTATGTAAACTGTAAAATGTTAAGAACAAAATAAAGTTGTATTACATTGGATTTTACCAAGTTTACAACAGGAGTTCACAAACTTGAAACTTCAGAGTTTTCTTTTTTTCCAAAATCTTATTATGAACACAAGGGCTGTGAAGACACTAACCCAGGCTGGCTTTGAGCTAGTGACCAAAGTGCTGGGATTACATTCACACAGTTTAAACATCACACATGTCAGGATCCCCACAATCTAGTCTTAAAATGTTATTTTTCTGGACTGGACGATGGTAGATTGGAGGTATTTTAAATTTTGTCAAACTCTGCTGAATCATATAACTCTCCAGATTTAAAGATTGCCAGAACATTCAGCCAAATGTAAGTATAATTAAATATGTAAAGAGAAGGAACTGCCTATTGGGGACCAAAGGCCATCAGTCACAGATGCTGTTTTGGGGAAACATAGTAGTCAGGTAGGGGGCTATAACCTGGGAACTGTCTGCATTTCTGATCTTTTAAAAATATTGTTATTTTATGCTCATTGGTGTTTTGCCTGTATGTATGCCTATGGAAGGGTGTCAGAAGCCCTAGAATTTTAGTTACAGACATGTATGAGCTACCATGTAGGTGCTAGGAATTGAACCTGGGTCTGCTGGAGCAAGTGCTCTTAACCCCGACCTTCTGATTTAAGGTTGTGTTTGGCTAGTAACTTATTACCTTAAAGCTAAACTCCTGTGACAGAAATAAATTATGACTATGTTAAAGGACAGAGAGACATGTACACATGATGTCAGGCAAATGTGAAATTTGAGCTCACAGAGTTGACGGTGGGATTGTGTGGTTAAAGGAGTAGAGATGTGTGATTAAAGGAGCTGGAATAAAAGCTACGCAGTGAGCACAAAGTTACAAGTTTGCAAATAACTATAATATATTTTTGCATTTCTAAAGCTAGAAGAAATATTTTAATTTCTTTGTGACTGATTTTATCTGTAGCCCTGGCTGGCCTGGAACTCACTGTATAGACCAGACTTGCCTCAAGGTCAAGATCTGCCTGTCTCTTTTTCTTGAATACTAGGATGAAGGTATGTGCCACCATACCTACCCGGCTGTTTTAAAAGGTTTTATCACAACAAAATAAAAATGTCTGAGGATACTATACACGTGTAACGCAATTTAAACAACACTCTGTTCTCCTGTCTGTCTCTCTCACATTATTTCATTTTTATTTATTATGTTACATGTGCTAATTAGGATAAACGTAGTTAGTAAAAACGAAGGTAAATTCACAGCCCTATATTTTCCTAAAGGGCAGCACAAAGGGGCTTCCTTGCCTGTGTGTTCTGCGTTGGAATCTGCAACAACAAAGCCAGGCTGCTGTAGTCAAAGTTCTCATCCAGGGCTATGAGCGAGCCGTGCACGCCGCTCTCAAGAATGTTATTTGCATATTCTCGAAGTCCAATCGCTTGTATCCAGCGGATAACACGATCATTGCTCCACACTAAGACATCTAGAAAAAAGAGATGCATCATGTCAAGATAAAGTCCTCTGCAGGATGAACAAAGTCCTGGCTGAAAAGAGCCCCGGCTCCCCGCCAGCATCATTTATTCCGACCTCTCTGCTTCCTAGAGCTGTTGCCTCCTGTCTGTTACTAAATCTCCGGATGCGTTGGCATTCTCAGAAGCTTATTATTCCTCAAAAGGCAGCATCCTATCACACTGAACACTGTCTAAACGTATTTATTGCTACTTTTATATTGGGATCTAGCTGAAGTTGGGCGCTTTTGCCACCACATGGGGATATTTGTCTCTCACTCCTCCCTCCTTCATAGCTGTAGTCCTCATCCTCCTCCTTCCTCTCTCTCTCTCTCTCTCTCTCTCTCTCTCTCTCTCTCTCTCTCTCTCTCACACACACACACACACACACGTATACATATATACACAATATCAACATTATGTTGTTAATGCCATTCTTTTTTAAATTTTTCTTTTTACATATTAACCCCAATTCCCCCTTCTTCACCTTCTCCCAAACTCTGCCTTCCCCCCTCCTAACCACATCTACTCCTCAGAGCTGGTAAGGCCTTTCTTGGGTAGTCAACTAAGTCTGGCATACCAAGATGAGACAGGACCAAATGCCTCTCCCCCTGTGTCAAGGCTGAGCAAGGTAGCCCTCCATGGGGAATGATCCCCCAAAAGCCAGTTCATTCACCTGGAGATAGGTCCTGATGCCAATGCTAGGGTCCATCCCACATCAGATCAAGTCACTAACTGCCACCCACATTCAGAGGGTCTTGTTTGGTCCCATGCAGCTCCCACTAGCCCGGGTCAGCTGTCTCTGTGGTTCCCCATCATGCTCTTGACCCCACCTTGCTCCTATAATCCCTCCTCCCCCTCTTCATCTGACTCCAGGAGCTCAGCCCAGTGCTTGGCTGTTCTCTAATGAAGTGTTTTTTAACCACCACTTCAATATCGCAAATAATTAGAAAATCTTTATTTCTCTCCTGATGTTACATGTAAAAGAGAATTATCAGAACAAAAAAAAAGCACACTGATACTTTAATATTATTATTATTATTTTAATTTTTTGAGACAGAGTTTCTTTGTGTAGCTCTAGCTCTCCTTGAACTCACTCTGTAGGTCAGGCTGGCCTCGAACTCACAGAGATTCTCCTGCCTCTGCCTCCTGAGTGTACCACCACAACCTGGTGGCACTTTGGTATTAAGTCATTATTTCTCGAATAAGTTATTAATTAAAAAACTCAAGTGCACATTTACAATACCATACATTGCTTTTTTTGCTGTTTAAAAGTGGCATCTTAAGAAAGTACAACAAATTTTAACATTTAGTCCCCAGAAATTAAACCTTCAAAGGAAATACCATTTCTGTTTGAGATAAAACCCAGAAAAATGTGGGATTTCCCCCCATAGATTCTATCATATCTTTATGTTGAATGATGCATAAAATTTTATAACCATATGTGAACGATAGTGCTGTACAAAGAAAAAAAATTAAGGAATCAAGTATTAAATAAGAAAAAAATAAAAGACTTTCTCTACTTGTAGAAAAGAAATCAAAGTGTTTAGCATGCCAAATTAAAAGCAGCATGTCTGTAAATACTTTTGAGCTAAAATTTGTGTTTAAATATACACTGCTAAAATTTATATTAAAATATACATTATGTACTTAAATTATATATTGTTAAAGTTTTGTTTGCAAAATTGTTATCAACTTCTTGTACTTCTCTCATTTGTCATCAGTCGGGTTTCCTCGTGACATCACTCTCCCAAGCAGAAACCCTACTCACTCCATCAATGACAGGTCACACTCTCACAGTAACCTGTCTGGCTCTGGCTAGTAGTTGTATGTGTGTCTCCCTAGCTTCTGATACTCAATGTTCTTATTCTACAGTGTGTCCTCTGTATACACTGTGTCAATGCTATTTTTTTTTATTTCTGTGTTGAATACACTAGTTAACACACACCTCTTTCATATTATCACTCAGATATCTCAATTTAAATCTACCATCACGATGCTTGTCTTACCTTTCATTTTTCCTTACCCTTTTAGTATTATGTATTTTTTAAAATTTTATTCTAAGTCACTATTACAGTTTCTTTATTTTATATTATTCTGCCAAAGTCATATTTAAAACTTAAACTCTACACTAGGGATAAATACTGGTTCCACTGTCAGAGGTGCCATAGACTGCCCAGGCCTCCTACCTGGCACCCACATTCAGAGGGCTTGGTTGGGCCAATGCTGGTTCCCCAGCTTTATGACTGGGGGACCTTGTGCTCTCACTTGGACTTTGGACATGAAGGGATACATGGAGGAGGGCCCAGGACTCCCCCAAATGATGTGACAGACTTTGTTGATTCCCCATGGAAGGCCTTGCCCTCCCTGGGGAGTGGATTGGGGGTAGCGTTGGGGGTTGTTGGGGTGGGCATGGGAGGATGGGAGGGAGAAAGAGCTTGGATTTATATGTAAAATAAGATTGTTTCTAAATGAAATAAACAAAATTTTAAAAAGCAAAAAGGCAAAAGAATCACTTAAACTATACATTCTTGACTCATTAAAGTCTTCTGTATATTGGCCCTTATATCATTTTGTAGATAATATAAAAATTTCAAATTAATTTAATTCCACTATTGTCACTGTAGCATTTCTGTTGTTATTTGTTGTAATTCTGTGTAAAATCTAAGCCTTCTAGACATTACTACTTGCAGGAGTGATGATAATTTTTACCACTTGTTTTTTTTAAGGCTGAGGATTTTAATTTGCATTAGATCCCATGCTTCACAAAAAGAACCAGAGGGAGACCCAGGAGCTTACAGCTTCCCCATGGCTAGGACACAAGGGCGTGCATGTCAGTCAACCCTACCATAAGTCACATCATCCTCTTGCAGCAATGGTCAGTGTTAAACTAAAACGTTAACGACACTCGGCAATTCACCACACTTGGCAATTCGCAAACAGATATTCATCAAAATGAGGCATTCTAATGTGTCATTTGTTAAAGAATTCAGTGATGAAGTAGGGAAAAAAATCATCATCAAAAATATCAGTCTTCATGGGGCTCCCCAAGTTCAAGGCTCTTGTGCAGGCACTGTCTGTGAGTGACTGTAGCTCAGCTTCACACTGGCTTTTCTTGGGGCTGCAGTAGTTATGGTCTTGTCCCAGACAGATGTTCTGGGAAACAGCACTGAATTCAGCAGGTGCTGGTGTGCTGTCCCCCACCCCCAAGTACCTCAAAGCTGGCTCCACACTTGCTGAGGGCTCTGACAGGGCTGGAGGAGAAAGCAATTCTGCTAAAATCTCTTCATGACTCTGGCTTTTACATGAGGCGCCATCCGGAGCAGTGGTGTACCCAGATTTATTGTCTGCAAGGCCAATTTGATACTGTAGCTCATTTAACAGAGCTTCTATGAACTCACAGTCATTTGGATACCCACAATGGGACACAGGCTCTGAATGGTCACTTACAGAAGTCCCATGGTTAGGGGTAGAAATCAGAGCAGCTAGCTTCTTCTTTTTTTGCCTTTAGTTTTTAAAAGAACTTTGAGCTGAAGCTTATGAACCTGATCTTCAGCTGCATCCCCAGAGCTTGCTGGAGAGCAGCGGACATGTTCATGCTAGGCTATGGGAACTGTTGCTGAGGTGAACTGAACTTGAGTTTTCCCAGCCCATTCAACAGGGCTGATGAGGTCTTCCCACCAGCATGGGACGGAGCAGCTGTGCTACTTGAAGGTGGAGAGCTGCTGCCTGCAGAAGGTTAGTCCACACGCTTAGAAGCCTTCCTGGAAATCCTTAGCCTGCCGGCTTATATATTTTTGTCTTAAAACCTTCAAAATTATTGGCTCCTTCAACAGAAGGCTACAGGTCAGTTGCTGCTCTATTGTGAGCCCAAATGCACCCCCCCGCTCAACAGCCCTCTCACCCAACTTCCCAGGAAAACTTTCTTCTGATCTTCTTTCCCAGGCTGAGTGTGTGGCGAGCTGGCTGTTACCGTTTTAGAAGACACTTCGGTTTCTCTTTTTCTCAATTTAGATGCCTGAGGTTTGGCAGGTTGCTGCAGCTGAAAGCTGAAAGCTGCAGTAACTGTGTCTGAGTGTTCTTCTCAGCTACCATGGACTTCAACTGCTGATCAGGAACAGGGGCATTAGACACAGGGTTAGGAACTACAGTGTCTCCTGCCTGTGAAGGCATGACTTCGGGTCTGTGCTCACAACCAACTGGTGCGGCTGGGACTAGATTTCCTTCATAGGGGTTAGACAATAAGGAAATCATCAGTGAGTCTTGTGGTTGCAGAGAGTGTGCGCTAACAAGTTCTGCACTTCCTGCCACAGGTTTATCTTCCAACAGGCAATCTTTAGAGTCAATCTGAAAAACAGAGGCAGCTTCGACCAAGCCTTTTGCTCCTGAAAGTACACTATCTCTGTGAGCTACAGCTTGGACTTCTGGAAGAGTCTGAGGAGCGGCTGGCATATGTATGGGGCAGGTGACTGGGGGTTCTGAGGTGGCAGTCCCACCTACAGAACACAGTGTTGGTGAAGCTGGCAGCTCTACTTTGAGCATGGAAGATAGGTGGCTTCTTCAGTTGGCACCTAGGACTTTCCCAAACAACAATATGTATCTCTGATGCTGGCACTGCACATGTCATGTGCCTTTTAGCACTGGGGCCATTTAAGTCATCACACTTCAGCCAATTCCCATCGGTATCTACGATCCATGTATAAAATGGTTATTTGCTTGGTAATGAATTACACACGTGACTTGATAAAGACTACCTTCAAAATGAAACGCTGCAAATCCTTTCAAGGTAAGCCTTCCATGAAGTGCAGCATGAATATGGGTGACCCTCTTTCCAACACCATTTTTCTTATTTGTGATTTACTGTTTCAACTGTTACTCGGGATGCCACTCAGGAACAACATTTCTAAAGGGGACCAGACTCTTCAGACACCTGTTTTGCTACTGGTGTCCACAATGGGAACACTCAAAATTCCAA